ATATATATATATATATATATATATATATATTATTTTATTTTTTTTAACAACCGGGAGCAGCTGATTAACATATCAAAAGCTCAAGTAATACCTCAACTACAGCCCAAAATCCCCAAATAATTGAAAAATGATTTCTCTTGATGCTTTTTCAATTTCCAGCATTCCATCATGGGAGAAGTGGAGGTGGTGGAGATAGTGGTTCACCTAGATGGCAGACTGGAGATGTGGCAGTGAGTGTCTGTTATATTTTACAAAACAAAAAAATGAAGCAAAAACAACATCAGCAAATAAATTTAAAAAATGTTACCCACTCAAACACATAAAGTAAGACTTGTTGTATAGAAAGTGGATGAAAGAAGCCTGAGTACCTGTGAGCACGCTGGGTTTAGTTCCTCCTGCAGACTAATTGTTCCCACATTGCAGCAGCACCTCCATCAGGCGACGCTTCATTCATCACTCGACTGCCTCACTGCTCCAGGGGGCCAAGATGTGTAATTATACTCTCATGTTTGCATGAAGTGAAATCTCTAAAATCCAGATGATTTTTCTGCAGAAGCATTAAAACATTGTAACCAGGCTAGCAGAGAAGCAGAAGACTGTTTTATTTCTTTGCTCTACCAGCATATGTGATGAATCTTTGAATCTTGTCGACTTGGCTGTTAGTTTTTGCTGTGTGTGTTTATTAGGAACCTCCGAGCTGCACTTGTGCCGTGAAACAAACTCCATATTAGTTTTTGACTAATAGAGATTAATAACTGCCATGCATATTTATCTCACAGTCAATTATTTCATTCAGATGTTTCCATTTTACAAGTTCAGACTGAGGTCTGTGATCCTTTGCACTGCAGGTTTGCAAAGTCTCGTCGTTCCACGGGGCCATTTCAGAACGGAAAATAGTGCTCGCTGCCTCAAACAACTGTTCCCACTATTACTCACCGCTGCATGTTTATGTCCCCTCCTCCAACAAATCAACACCACATGGCAGCGTTGCATATCAAGTGTGCGCACCAGTTGATTTACTGTATCGGGAGGTCGAGACTGCAGCTGCTTGGATCTAATCAGACTGCGCCTGATTGTGTTTGGACAGAAATCACATCAAAGGGAAGGAAAAGTGTCAGAGGGTGTCTGGTTGTGCAGGCGTAAGAGGCTTTGCTTAAATCTTTTCATTTTGTTTAGACAGTTGTATGTATTTGACCTTCTGTTTGATTAAAAAAACACTTTTGTAGTTGTTTTAGTCTGTCTGGTGCTGCAGACACACACAAATGGGCTGATGGTGCAGAGGTTAGGTGAGACTGTTTCCCCTGTTTGAATCTCCCAGACCGGCACAAAATATTTTGGCAGGAAAGGTGAAGCACCTCCATCTGCTTCTACCCTTATCTGCCCCATAGTGGGCCCATGAGCAAGGCATTTAACCCTCCACCTGCTCCTCTGTCACCATTGATGGCAGCGGTGTGCTCAAATGTTCCATGGGAAAAAATAGAGGATTAATTTTACCATTAGGGATTAACAGAGCATAACAACAACAACAACAACAACAACAACAACAACAACACTACGAATAATAATAATAATAATAATAGCATTAGTAATAATAATAATAATAATAATAATAATAATAATAATAATAATAATAATAATAATAATAATAATGTAATAATAATAAGAGTATTGGTAATATTAATAATGATAATAATTATTATGGGCAGCACGGTGGCGCAACTGGTAGAGCTGCTGCCTCTCAGCGAGCAGGTCCCTGGTTCAAATCCCAGTCCAGGGGTCTTTCTGGGTGGAGTTTGCATGTTCTCTCCGTGCATGCGTGGGTTTTCTCCGGGTGCTCCGGTTTCCTCCCACAGACCAAAAATATGCATGTTAGGCTGATTGGTAACTCTAAATTGTCCCTAGGTGTGAGTGAGAAAGTGAATGGTTGTTTATCTCGTTTGTCTCTATGTGTCCCTGTGATGGACTTGCGACCCGTCCAGGGTGTACCCCGCCCCTCGCACAGTGATTGCTGGACATGGGCACCAGCGACCCCCGTGACCCAAAATGGAACAAGCGGGTAAAAGATAATGGATGGATGGATAATTATTATCGTAATAATTATTACGATAATAATAATAATGATAATAAAACAGGAGTTAGTATCAAGGCTGATGGATGTGTCTAAATGCTGAAAAATGACATGATAAAAGAAAAAAGAACATTAAAAAGTTATTTGTGGACAGTTGGGGTAATTTTATTAATCTTTGTTTCCCTTTTTTGCTTCATAATGCCACAGATTTGGATGGATGGATGGATGGATACATGGATGATGGATAAATGAATGGATGAATGGATGGATGGATACATGGATGATGGATAAATGAATGGATGAATGGATGGATGGATGGATGAATTTATGGATGAACTCTTGACCATTTCTGAGTGATATCTTTGTACACGTTTTTAAAAGTCGTGTGCTGAAGTGCTTATTGTAAAATTGTACTGACATTTTTGTAGGGCAAATGTTGAAGTTTACAGTTTCTAATATTTTTTGTATCATTTGTCAGTGTAGAATCAGATTATGGGATTGTACTAACTGTTGAGACAATGCTGCTACCTAGTGGTTTGCAGGAGTAATAAACTAAGATTTGTTGGCTCTGTAGATACTGTCTGTGTCTGATGAACTGAGAGCCTTAACAAGTGCAGAGGCCAGATGCAACCCAGGATGGCAGAATTTAAAACATGGATGACAAACCAAGATGTGAAGCAGTGGATCTGCTTTAAACACTACAAGTTGTAGTTCCATTAGAAATAATAAACTTTGTGGATGTTTTCTTTTGAAACCTGAGGATCACTTTGCTCCTGCACTCAGAGGAAGTGTTGTAAGAGTGAGAAAAATAATGTTGACCATAGATTAAATAAATGAAAGATTAGGTTCTGCTTTACACTTTTACTGATTCTACTTTTATAATATTAGAAAAATACTTTGAATCAGTGCATTTAAAGAGCCAACACAACAACTCAGCAGAACATTTGTTTTTGTGTGAATGTTTATGAAGCATCCACACTAATTTTCTTCTGTGTTTTTTTCAGCGTCTTTCTCGTCCCACAGTTTTATTTATTTCAACAAATCATAAATCAAAACTTTCAGATTGTTCAGGACAATCCTGCTATGACTTTTGGTACTGGTAGTACAACCTTTAGCTTTTTGAAATATTTAGTCTTTTCTGCTTTTTTTTTTTTCTCATAGAAAACGAATTGAGCTCATTTTCCATCCTTCATCTCTTTCGATCTGTTTACAACCTTTTACTGCTCCTTTCACATTTTGTTCTGCTTCAGCTTCCTTGTGCAAATTATTATTTTTTTTAGCTATTTTCAGCCGTTTTGTGCTCCTTTCAGGATCTTTATGCTAACTACAACATTTTTGTGCTTCTTCTAACTTCTTTCAGCGCCTTTCAGTTTATTTCTACGTTTCACCTTGCTCTGCTATTTCAGCTACTAGCTGTTTATATGCTAATTTAAGCATTATCGGCTATTTCCACATTTTTTTTTTGCAATCATTTACTTTTTTTTTGCCTAATTCAGCAAAAATGTGCTCTCTCCACTTCTTTCTTGTAATTTTAGCTTCTGTCTAGCCTTTTCAGCAGATTTTTGTTGTTGTTGCTAATTTCAGCTTTTTTCGGGTAATTAATTTCCACTAATTCGTGCTCATTTCTGCTTCTTTCAGCCAAATTGGGCAAACTTGTTCTTTCTGCTTTCTTTTGCTAATTTAAGCTTCTTCTACCTTTTCAGCTAGCTTTTTAGCATATTTTAGCTAATTGCAGCTGTTTTCAGATAAATTCATGTTTTTGTGGTAATTTGTGCTACTTTATGCCTAATTAACTTATTTATGATAATGTCAACTTATGCTCTTTTCAGCTTATCTTTGTTAGTTTCAGTTATTTCAGCTACTGTTCAGCTGTTTATGCTAATATTAGCTTTTTTCAGCTAATCCCACATTTTTTGCACTCATTTCAACTTTTGTTCTTTTTGTTTTCTCCTGCTGATTTATGCTTGTTCTACATTTTCAGCTACATTTTAGCAGTTTTTTAGTTAATTTCAGCCATTTTTCAGCAAGTTCTTCTGCAATAAGCAATCACACTTTCGCATTTTCGCAGGAAAAGCAATTTTTCTAGCTTAAACTGAGATATTTTCTTTTTTTTTGTCTTAGCTAGTCAGTCTGACTTTGCCTTCCCATGATGCCTTGCACAGGTACTATTTTCAATAATGGGATGAACTTAGACACCCTTTCAGTGAGCGCAGTGACCAGAGCAGAAACAAAGGATGACTCATTCATCATCAAATCCAATGAAAATGCAAACACCAGCCATTTATTGATATAGTTTTCCATATTACAGCAATATATTTCTATTAAATACATATGTACTCAGCCTGTGTGTGTTTATAGGTAGGCATTTTACATTCGTGTCCAGTGTCAGTGCAGTGGTAAAGTCTGAATCAGCTCAAGATTTTTGAAATCATCAGCATCGAGGTGAGCAAAGAGCAGGACATCAGATTATTGTTTGATGTTTTTTTTCTCTTCCACTCTGAAATAAAGTGTCTGACATTCCTGTATTTTGGTTTCTGAAGCCAAATGCATTAATTCATGGTGTAAAGGTGAGACAGAGTGGTGGTGAGGTGTGTAGAGGTAGGCACCGGGGTCTAATCGGGTACAATCTGAGATTATGAAGAGGTCCACATGGAGCGAGTAAGATTTATCAAGAGCTGGTTTTTATTCCATTGTTAAATTAAACTAATTTTTTTTTTTTTCCTGGAATCTCGAGCTAACGTGCTCTTGACTTTGAAAAACGGCAAAGGGGATTATATACCGTAATCTATATGTAAAAAGGAGGCGTGTGCTTCAATCCCACAGATTTGGAGCTTCTCCAGAAACAGAAAGCTAAATATAAAGTTTAACTTAACAGACAAAAAAAAAAAAAAAAGATTCATTTCAAGGAAGTGCTCAGAATAAAAGAGTAATTTGGAGTCTCGGGGCTTTGGAGGCATTCATGCTTTGGTCGGTGGAGCAGCAGTGAGGGTGAATCGAAGTGTGCACCTTGATCTTGATCTCCAAAACAAACGTCCCTGTGGTCAGAGTTGATACAGGTGATGGGAAAAGCTTCACACTTTTCAGGTTGGGTGTTGCCGACATGTTTGCATCCTGAGAGCACATCTGTGCACGAGAGAGTGAGATCTTTGTTCTTCAAGACTTCAGGCTTTGTAGCAGCTGATGCGCCTTCAGACACAAGTTTAGTCAACCCGACTTTAATCCGCTTTGAATTTGCACAATGACATCAGACCAGTTCTGGCCCGTTCCACCACACTATTCCAGAAAATGAAACAACAGTCCAGTCTTGGGAAGGTGGGAAGGTGGCGGCGACTCAGAGGAACGGGTTGTGGCTGTGTGTTTGAGTCTGGGCTGATCGTGGAGACAGGGGGAGCAGAGGCTGCGGGAGGTTAGAGGGGAGGTCCAGGAGTCCAGCAGGAGGTTGTGTGAGGGAGGACGGGAGGACGGGGGGCTGGTGGAGCAGAGGGAGGGGCAGCGACGGGCTGTAATGCAGCATGTGAGGAGGCAGAGGCGAGGTGGAGCACGGCCGCATCTGGTTGAGGGTGAGGCGCGGCTGGTCGCAGTGGAACGGGTTGGTGGGAGATGGTGCACTCAGGCCTGTAGTAAGTATATTTATTAAAGTACATTTACATAAAATACTTCATCCCAGAAATATTTATGTGCTTACCTGAGAGGAAGGGGTTATTCTGCATCTTGCTGGGAGGCTTAGGAGGTATCAGAGTGTCCAAATTGACCAGCGAGGCCCCCGTGGGTCCTAGAAAAGCCTCTGGAGTCCGACACACACGTGCAGGCGGGGCGCCGAGGGGGGGCGCTAACCGGGACAAGTGGAACATCTCAGGGCTGTCTGACTCCCGTCCATTTACCAGGGGTTTCACCGGCGGGTCCGCTCTGAACAGATCCGACCTGGAGTCTTGTCCAGAAAACAAGTGGGACGTAGGTTTGATTCCAAACAGCTCAGCATCTGCAAATCAAAGAGTAGAACTTCAAAACACATTTTAACGCTGATGCATCGTTAATAATCTATTTATAAAGAAAAAGGTTCAAGTTTACACACAAACAGGTCATGAACAATTTTATTTTATGAATCCAGTTGGTTGCATTACAACAGAGATTGAAAAGACTACACTGGCTTTAGACGTTTCTCCGTTTGGTTGTTCTAGCTGAAAAATTACTCCAATGATCCGAGTATTTTAAAATTATAATTAATAATAACCCCCTGGTCTGCATACATTTGTATTCTGAGAGCAGTTAATCTGAGCCCAGCTGCAGATCATCCAGCTGAATGGATGTGACCCGACACAAAGAGCACAATTATTACCCGGATGTTTCAGATTTAAAAAAAAGTCAATTTCACCTTCACTTTTAATGAACTGTTCATCAAAATTTTACAATCTTACAACTTCACATCAAAAATAACTTTTCGTTGAGATGGAGGTGAGTTCTCATGCTGCTGATTATCTCATGCTGCTCATTATCCATGCTGCTGAGCTTGTGCTGCTGGTGAGCTCAGGCTGCTGATTATCCATGCTGCTGATTATATCATGCTGCTGATTATCCATGCTGCTGCTGATCTCATACTGCTTATTATCCATGCTGCTGATTTTGTGCTGTTGATTATCTCATGCAGCTGATTATCTCATGCTGCTGATTATCCATGCTGCTGATCGTGTGCTGCTGGTGATCTCATGCTGCTGATCTTGTGCTGCTGATTATATCATGCTGCAGATTATCCATGCTACTGATCCCATGCTGCTGATTATCCATGCTGCTGATTTTGTGCTGCTGATTATCTCATGTTGCTGATTATCTCATGCTGCTAATTATCCATGCTGCTGATATTGTGCTGCTGGTGATCTCATGCTGCTGATCTCATGCTGCTGATTATATCATGCTGTGGATTATCCATGCTGCTGATCTCATGCTGCTGATGATCTCATGATACTGATTAACCATGCTGCTGATCTCGTGCATTACGTCACATGAACTTCAACTAATTAAACACAAAAGCACTTTGTAATACGTTCACAATGAAGCTGTATAAAACAGTTGATGGTAGTCAGAGTACTGTGTTTTACTTAGGTGGAATTTTATTTTACAGGGTCAAACTTCCAGTTTTCAGTGCATAATATTTCTCAGTCATCATGGCTGTGTTACATAGTTAGACTCATCAAGAGATATTTCTACAAAAATGATCGACAACATAATAATATATAAAGTTCAGGTGTCTGAATATATTGTCGTTTTTACTGAAACGTCAGCAGATTAATTTGCGCAGCTACTGTGAGACATGGCTGTGTGTATTTGTACATAAAGCAGATAACTGACATCTGACAGAAAAAACGTTTTAGGGTACACAATTAATGCCAGGTGTGAAGAGCTTCCACATGCAGTTTAATAACCCAAGATAGATGCATAATGCTAGATCTGAACCTGTTAAATCTATTTTTTTAATCAAAAAATATTATATCAGTAACTTTTGTTTAAAATAAAAAATTAGTTTTGATTGATTTGAGTCACGTGTACAGTGAAACCTATGGTGCTTCTTGTTCTTAACACTTCTCTACCTGTTGGGCTGGCAGGCAGAGGGGGGGACACTCGGAGAACCTCCTGCTGAAGCCTCTCCTCCTCTTGGGCTGTGAATGGATCGGTCCCGTCATCGTCTGTTTGGGGAAATGAAAACGGACTAAAGCAGCACGGATATAAAGCAATACATACATATGTGTCAAAAATCAAAGAAAACTAACACAGGCATGCAATCTGATGGAACCTTGTGATGCTAAATGTATGTGAAACATAAAGTACCCCCATTTGTGGGGCCATCCCAGGCATCACAGGGGGGACTGGATGGTGCCTGTGCCACCTCCCAGGGGTCTGTGTGCGAGTTGGCACATGGAGCCCAGGGATTGGATGTGTTAGAAAAGGGGGGAGGGTCCATCCAAGAGCTGCCAATCACAGGAGAGCTGGACTGGACTGCTGAGAAGTCAGATTTAGATTTTTATTTTATTTTCTGAGTATGGTGAAGCACAGGTGTTGTTCTGATTAAAAAACATTCAGGTGTCTGTAACAAAGCACCCACCTACAGAGACCCAGGGGTTGGAGATGGTGTTACTGGGGGGCTGAACTGTGGGCCATGGGTCGCCAGTGGGAGGCTGTGGCTCAGATGATGAGCCAAAAATGTCCACGAGGTCCAACATGGCAGACTAGAAGGGAAGAAAAAGATAAAAAAGATGAATATTACAAATTCTTTAAAACATTAATTGGTCATTGTGGCCAATCAGTTCAATTTTAGTTTAATCAAACCACAGGACACGTCTCCAAAACTTTAGGTTTATTGTGCACGTTTGCAAAGTGTAATCTGGCTTTTTTTTTTATGTTGCTTTCAGAGTAATGGCTTCTTCCTTGATGAGTGGTCTTTCTGCACATGTCGTCTCACTCTGGATAAAGATGCTCTCTAACCAACTTCAGCAGGTAAAAGATGGCTGCTTCAGCCAGGTACCAGGAAAAGTTTAAATCGGATTTAATGAGGAAAAAATAGTTGTGCCATCCTTTTAGACAGTGTCTATAAACATCCGGTTTATATATACACATATATATATATATATATATATATATATCACCATCATATACACAAGGATCTGTTTAGTGCTGAAGTTTTTACATTAGGCACCTTCTTGGGCTGCTATGGGGTCCTTGGGAACATACATATTAATTTGTTCAGTGTGATTCTGGTTCTTTTTACATTGCTTCCTGTCTGCACTTGTGATAAAAGTGAGCTATAACAAGTTGTTAACAATTACTATTTAGTTCTTTTCATATTGAAATGAAGCGGCGAATTTCAGCGCTAATACTGTATATGTTAGCATGTTAGCATCACTTGTGTAGGAATGTCATTTAGTGTTTTTCTGTTCTAACTAACTAGCTAACAGTCATTTAAGTTCAATCTAAGCCTCAAGTTACCATGTGCTTGATTTAGTCTTCTCAGTTATATTGTGTTTGTTTATTTCAGATACCAGAGAGATTCAGAGACAAGTTGTAGGGAATAGGACAAACTAAACTACAAGTGACCTATTAATGTACACCCAGATGTATGGAAGTTGGAGTGCGCTCAGTTCAATCTGAAGACTGTTCCACTGTGTCCGGCCTCGCTCTCTGATCGGAGTGTCTGTGTGAATGAGGTGTTCCTGCGAACCCCCCTGAAATAACACAGTCCTAGCTATTCACCACAACAATGAACACCTCTATGAAGAGCTACTCCTATGTGAAGTTTTATTACTTTTATTTTTGTATGTCAAAAATGGTTGTGTATGTTTCATGTTTTTTTTGTTGCCAGTTAAAAAAACATTACATTCCTGCCTGATGTTTCACTGATGCGACTGAAAGCACTCGACCAGTTACGCGCTGCAGGGATGTTAACATAATGCGCCGAATGACTCCGATTGGTGGGTTGAACAATTTGTGTTCAAGAGTTAATGTACTAAAAGTTAAGGACTGTGCTTTTAGGGAAAGGTGATGCTGCGTTCAAGGTCAAACTCAGTTGTTATTCTGCATGCATCTTCTTGTTCTCCCTCAGCACTTTGCCCTTTCTTTCTTACATCTCCCTCGTTACGGTTCATTTATTATTGTCGCATTAAGCCCCTCCCCTTTCTCTTTTCTTTCAGTCATCGTTTTGCTCAGCTTCATTCTCAAAATGCCTGCCAGCAGCCTCCTACAATCACACCGCCCACCCACCTTTCAATGCAAATATACACTAAAGTACAAGCATTTACCCACACACATGCTATCCTGCTAACACACACGCATTTTGAAACTAACCTCGTGTGTCTCTGACCGGCTCTCTCTGCGGCTCTCATCCAAGGCTTTCTGTAGCAGTGAGTCGTCTCCTTGGCGACAACGCTGCTCCTGCAGGGGCGGCATCGTGACATCATCAATGCAACAAGTACCGACTCTGAATCACACGAACACACCATAGTGAGCAAAACAACTCAATGTCTTGGTCCAGCAAATGTAAAAAAAAAAAAATGACATGCTTTTTTATGCAGCAACATTGAGCACAAAGTGGGAACAAGTTTAAATCAAAAAGAGAGAAAACCCCAAATTTGACAGAAAACTTTGACATTGTTTGAAAGAAATACGCTGATTTATGTCCTTTGGGAAAGAAAGGAAGATGAAAATTTAAACCTGCACAGTTAAAGAGAAAATGTGACTAACAAAGAAGACAGGATGGATTTTAACCAACAGCTTAATTAGGCGTTTAGCTAACGGTACAGACAAACTCATATAAAAACGTTATCCCTCAGCATGCACCTATAGTGGCAAGCATTATCACACAGACACTAAATTCAATGGTTTATTATTAAACACTCACACAGAACTGTTAGGTGTGTTTTTGTCTGTTTGTGTGTGGATCATTTTGGTTTAAAGCTTCAGGCAGTCTATAGTTGTCATCATTCGTCTCTATGGTAACGGGACTGCAGGGCTAACGTTGTGGGCGAATGTTCAAAACACTGATAACCATAAAGAAAGCCACAAGGCAAGTGTGTCTATGGTTCTGAGAACCCACGTGCGTGCCCACAGAGATGGTTACACCAGAGGTACGGCAGATTACCACGTCTTTGTGCATGTGTTGTTTCACCTTCTGACTCTCCTCCCTGCTCATGGCCAAAGCCAGCTGCAGCTGCAGCTCCTCCTCCCCGCTGGTCTGAGGTCGAGCCTGCTCCAGGTCTGAGGCGGCGCGCGGAGACGAGGCCGATGCTGCAGAGAGAACGAGGAATGACATTTTAACCTAAAGGCCTGGCATTCCTGGAGGGGGTGCATATCGTCCGCAGCCTTTCATGCCAGAACTTTGTAGTGAAACGATGTAGTTACAGCCATTTTGGTCAAACGTTGAAAATAACGTTATGCATGATTTCATACAATACTGTGAGATGTCATGCTCAGAGTGTGTCTGTGGATGACTCTCAGCTCCTACCACATTAAACTTTAGCTCAACATCTGTACCACTGACTGAGTCATAGCCACTTCTTTATTGGCTAAGGTTGCTTAGCTGTGGCGCCCATCTTGGATTGAATTGGCTCCTTTAGTTATTCATTTGTAGTTGTACGTCCATTAATTAATTTATGCAAGTTTCTTTACAAACTGTCGAGTAGTTCATGACATATTTTGGCAACAGACAGACACACAGACGGTAAAACCTTAATTGTTCATCATTGCCATTCAGTGTGAGGTTGCATGAGCAGAAGCACAGAGACGAGGAGTACACAAAGTGAATGAACATTTTCTGGTCAATGCCACAATATTGATAGTGTTGATCACTTTTGTATTGAGTAGTTTAAAGTATTGTGTTACTGCACAAAAAGTTGTTCATGGGGTATGTGATGATAAGCCTCAGTACCTGTTTATTTTTATTTCTCCATCTGTTTATTCATAAAGTAGAAAAAGTCAAAGTGCTCCAGACGAGTGTAAACTCACAGTTGAAGGAGGACGGAGAGCCTCTGGAGCGGCTGAACTCTTCGCCGTACAGCACAGCCATGCTGGGCTGACTTGTGCGTCTGCCTGGGTGGTAGGATGGGGGAATCCCTCCGCACACGCCACCGCTCCCACCTCCGCTCCCGCTCCCTCCGGTTCCTCCTCCAGCCATTCGCTCCTTGGTCTTCAAGGCTTGACTTCTCTCTTGGCGGAGCCGGTCCTCGTCCCGCAGCAGACACACCAGCTGCCGTGCTTTTTCTCGAACGTTGGCCCCCTGGTCTCTTCCATCACGGTCCACGTACTGGAAGTCACGCAGCGTCTGAAAGCGAGACGATCAACAAGAATTTGTGAAGCCGGCATATTTCTCCAACTTTTAGTTAATTCATTTCAGTTCATGTACGCTAAATCTTTACATATTCCTAAAACACTTTACTATTTACAGTTTTGCTTCAAAGATCTTAAAATACTGTTTTTGGTACCACTTTACAATAAGGCTCCCCTTATAGATGGAAAATAAATAGTTTATAGATACATTATTAATTCCTCTATAAGCACTTTATAAATCATTAATCATTGTTTATTATGTGTTAATTAAGGGTAAGAGAGAGACAAAACTGACCAGTTTTTTACCAAATAGTGAGCCAAATCTGTTCACCTATACATTTCATCTAGAGTTGTTATATTAAACATTTCAGAATAAGTTACTACCTTGTAAGCACAATAAGCATTTGTAAACCAAATTTTTTTAGGATATAATATTAGTTGTAGATACTTATAATGCAGTGGTAAAGTACAATATTATATGCTAAAACAATAGGTTTACAAATGCTTATTGTACTTACAAGGTAGTAACTTAGTCTGAAATGTTTAATATAACAACTCTAGATGAAATAGGTGGCAGATTTGGCTCACTATTTGGCAAAAAACGGGTCAGTTTTGTCTCTCCGTCACCCTTAATTAATGCATAATAAACAATTATTAAAGATTTATAAAGTGTTTATAGAGGAATCAATAACATACCATTTATAAGCATCTATAAGGGGAGCCTTGTTGTAAAGTGGTACCCTTTTTATTATAAAATGTCTGTATTTTAACAAAGTTCAGTCAGGTCATGTGGACAGTTTCTTTTTTTGTTGAGACGTTTCGTCCTTCATCCAAAGGACTTCATCAGTCCAAGGAGCCACAACAAACTCAGTCCCACAAGCAGCACATTACCTCACACACTCACTCAGTGGGACTGAGTTTGTTTGTGTGTGGCTCCTCAGATTGATGAAGTCCTTTGGATGAAGGATGAAACTTCTCAACAAAAAAAAAAAAAGAAACCGTCCAGATGAACTTACTGAACTTTGTTGGATTTTCTACCTGGATTACTGAGCATGAATTTTCATGTCTGTATTTTAGCTGATGTCAGTTTTCTAAAAAGCTCAATGACTGACAGAAAGGAGACAAGACAACTTTGGAGTCTGAGAGGTCTCCTTGATGCTCCTTAGGCCAAACAGGAGCTGAGCTTACCTGCTTAGCAAGTGCCTTGTTCAGAAACTTTCCTGTGTTTCTATCCTCATTTTTGTTAGTTTGCAGCTGAATGTTTATCGCCCACAGACTTTCATCTGAGAGTTTCAGACAAGGATTAACTTGTGTTGAGAAATGAAAGAGTCCATTCTGAAAGTATGTGTTAAAGATGATGTTCGGCTACAACCACATCAAAATGTAGCTCAATATCTGTAAAAGTCATTGAGTTATACCATTTTTGTGTTTTCCAAGTTATAGATGTACGTCCAATCAATTTCCTGGATTTTATTTTATTTTTTAATCAAAATTGATTCTGTTGTTCATGAAATACTTTGGTAACAGATAAAGTTGAAAGCAGTTTAGGGCTAAATTTGAAACCCAAATCTTGTGCTCTCAGAGTATGTGTAGGGGATCAGTTATAGCTACGACCAGACCATCATGTTGTTTGTGTGGTGTACTGTGTACCTGAATGGTGAATAGGTTTTCACGGCATTGTTGGGCCACCCTCTCTGATCCAGTCTTCAGCAGATAATCCAGCAGAGTCAGGGCCTGAAGTCAAATGTTGATTCTTGAATTGAATGGACTTTTTATTTGCAAGTGCAAATATGCACATAAACACTAAACAGTCCACTTGTAGCTCAAAAACTTGATTAAAGAAGATAAAAGAAAATGGTTTTCACAGCACATAGGAAGTGAAATAAACACACACACCTTGTAAACGTGTCTCCAGTTCTTGCCGCTGTCATTGAGGCGTTTCCACACCATGCCCATGACCTCAGCAAATGCCACAACATTGAAGGTCAGGTCAGCGATCTCTGACATGAGAGACGAGGACGGGCCCCATGGATCGTTTGAAGTGGCCTCGCGAACCTTCACATTGACACAGAGAACATCATAATGTCCATCTTTTATCAAGCATGCATTGTTCTCTCTATTCAGGAGTACGTGCATCTTTGCAGTATGAAAAGGTCCGAGGCTGAAGCAGAGGGGGAGGGACTCAAAACATTTTGATACAAGAATTGTATCAGTTTACACTTTCTAAATGACCTAACACACATTTAAAGAGAACAAATGTATTCTTCAAATACCTTGATTTCGGCTTCTGAATAGTTGTGCACAATATTCTTCACCTGACGGCGCAGGGCAGAGGTTGTCATGGTGACTTGGAATGGAAGATGTAAAGGGAGAGTAAGGAAAGCAAATGCTCAACAGGTGAAAAGGGGGTGAAAGGGGAGCGGTGGATGGGAGGAGGAGAGGTAGCTACACCAGGAAATGCTCCTCTTCTCTGCCAGGAGTTTTACCATGCCCCTATAAAAGGAGATAAGATGATATATGAATACAGAATACACTGGGACCCAAACAGAACCAGATTGTTCTATTAAATTTCCGTGCTGCACTCAGTACTATTAAACACAACATCCGAAGAGTCTTAAACATAGTTTTGGTATTAAAGGTATTGTTTTGATCTGTTTAAAGCAACATTTTCTTCATATTAAGTCTCTAATGCTGTACATTCTAAAGTTAGTTGTGGTGTTCTACAGGGTTCTGAACTAAGACCAGTGGTGTTTTCTCTTTATTAGCGTCCTCCAGGAAACAAGAAAACAGAACACTTTTTCCCTGTGAAGATGATGATGAAAGTGCTGAAAGTGATGTATAGTATTCAGAGATTACATGATTTTACAAATAACATCATCCTGATACTAACGGATATTGCACAAAGCTCAGTCAGATTTAAGTCCAGAATGTGGAACCATTGGCGTTTCAGCCTTTTTGTAAATCTGTGACTTACATTTGTGATTTTTTTATTTTTTAAATTTTTTATATCATCTATTTGAATTTTGTTTTTATATGGACCTGATTGTGTCTTTAACAAAGGTGATGATGATGATGATGATAATCATAGGAGCAACAGGCAGAGAACCCAGGGAGCAGGTAGGAATAGGCATCTTGCTCAAGGACACCGTGACATATGGACATGGCAGGGAATTCAACAACAACCTTAGAAACTTTGTTTGAAGACATAAAGTCCTTGTTATTCTTTACTTTTTAATAAATTCAAAACTGAGGCAATTCTTTTCAGCTCTTCAACCCTTTCAGACTCACTTTGTGACTTCATTCTTACTTCATTCATCTTATTGGGGCAGCTGTGGCTGAGTGGTTAGAGCAGTCGTCCTCCAATGCAGAAGTTGGGGGTTCGGTTCCACCAGCAGTCACATGCCAAAGTGTCCCTGGGCACTGAACTCCTCATTGCCTCCAATATGTGTCCCATCAGTGTATGAATGTGATCTAAAGCACTGATTACTCTTTGTATAGATCTAGTAGTGTTGTATGAAGGGGTAAATGAGGGCACAGATTGTAGAGTAAAGAGCTTTGATTATCTTGATAAGATAGAAAGGTGCTATAGAAGTACAATCCATTTACTCTAGGTGGTGTTTTCTTTGCTCCCAGTGCACCAATAAGAAAATTTTAAGTATTCTCTGACCGAGACGTGTTGTTGATCTCTAATTTAAACAGGATGAGGTTTTTGTTTAATTGACGGAACTCAACTTAAATCAGGAAACATCCTCACCATGCTGAAAAGCACCATTTTATTTGTTTTTACATTTTCCTTTTATCTTTTAATATTTATTTTATCAATAATTTAATAACACTTGTGAATTGATTTTACAAGTGTAATTCCCTTATATTCTGTGTCTTTGTAAGTTTTGTTTTTGTCGTGTAAAACACTAAGATGCACCTTGTATTAGAGCTTGAAAGGTGCAGTATCAGTAAGTTTAACTGAATTAACCCAGAAGTAATCTTCTGTATTATTTGTACTCAGCAAACGATCGTTCTGCTGAAGCATTTGAATTTTTACAGAAAGGATTACTGACAGGTTGACACAGCCAGTTCTGAAAATTAGAGCTCACATATTCAGATCGTAAAACTCACATTGTTTGATTAATTTCATTACTTTCTGTGTCAGTGAGAATTTACTGATGTAAACAATGACTGGAGATAGTACTGAGCTACTCCTAAATGGTGTCCCATCACAAAGAAGTAGGTCCCCCCCCCCCCCCCCCCCACACACACACACACACAGTTGTGTAATGAAGCTTCTTGAAAGCTTTCATTATTCAGGTCAGAATGTGACACACACAGACACACACACTTAACCCACATTTTTCTTTTAAATTTCTATTTCAGAGAGGACACGAGGGAATCGATCAATACGAGCTCCAGTCAAACTGTAACTCCCTCTGGTTGTGATGAGCGTCATTGACTCGGTAAACCAGAGCTGACTGTGTGTAAGGCCTCACGCTTAAATTCCACATGTTCTAGAATTGCACCGCTCGGGGTGGCTGCATGTTGGAGCAGCTCTGTTACATTCATTCTGAAATATCGCTTTCGGAAACTTTAATTCCTCTTTTTCTTGATGTACTGGTAAATCTTTTTTTTATGATTATTTCCTCTGGTATCATATGCTGTGCAGCTGGAAGGATTTTTAATAAAACCTTTTTAATTTTGGACATTTGTTATTATGCGTAACCATGACAACAAGGTGGTTTTTACAAGTGGGAGCAGCTGATTAACATCTCAAAAGCTCAAATAATATCTCAGCTACAGCTCCAAATTTCAGACGAATTGAAAAGGAGGTGCTGTAGATGCATTCTCGTCTCCCTGCTGGCTGTAAGCGCATGACCACCGAGATCCTGGAAATGGAAGGAAACACGGCTCGTGACAGCAGAAGGATCGGGATCATCCCCCGGCACTTGCAGTCTGGGTGGATGGATCGGACGGCATCTGCAGCCAGTTTCTTTGGATCTGCTGTGGGACGGACCTTTACAAGAGACCCATCCTGCCTACAACCACTCTCTATAACACTTCTTAATGAAACAAGGATAACAAGTTACAACATTTAATTTCCCTTTGAGATTAATAAAGTATTATTGAACTGAATTGAACTGAATTAAAAATAAGTCAACTGGACACTTTTTAAAATTGTTTTTTTGAAGACGTTTGACCCTTTGCCTGAAAGGTTTCTTGGTGGGACACTTCAGCTTCTCTACACAACCTCATCTGAACCGTCTCAAAGTTGTTCAAAGACTTGCTGACAAACTAAAGATCCTCTGATCATGTATTCCTTAAAGAGATAAGACTTGTAGATATTGCTTCAGGATTAAATGGCTACAATTATCTGCTGACATCACATTTAATACCCATCTATTCATCAGAGACGCATGTTCGGGCCGCTGTTTAATATACCATATTATTCAACAATTTTCAGTCAGGTCATCTGGACAGTTTCTTTTAAAAAAGAAAAAAAAAAAGAAACTGTCCAGATGACCTGACTGAAAATTGTTGGATTGTATACCTGGATTATTGAGTATGGACTTTTTTTGATATCGTATTATTTTACATTATTAGTGTTTAGTATATATCTTAGATCTTTTAGTGTATTGTTTAGCATTTGCTTAGCATATATCAAGTGTTTCTTTTTATACATTATATTTTTGCTATTTTTGGGTGTAACGGACCTTGAGTACATCATTTCGTTCCATCTCACGTACCACATGTGATGCGAATGACAATAAAGAATCTTGAACTTGAACTTAAGAAAACATTATCGTTGTTTACCTTATTAGGAGCACTAAATTGCTCCAGTGACAACTTTTTTTTTTTTGGAGAATCGGATGTACAAATATATTATTATTTCCACTGAAATAAAGCATAAAGTAAATTGTAAAACTTGTACTTTTTTCATGCGTTATAGTTCCAAATATTACAATTTAGTGTTGTGAAAGCATTATAAGTTTCCGTTACTGCTAAAATAACGTTTATTTTTCATTCGATTTTTTAAAAATGTAATAATTCACTGATTCTCCACCAGAGTTCACAATGTAAATGAGTTTCAGGAGGCCTTGTTCTGCTCCATAAAAAGTCAGCATCAGCAGAAGCACCGAGAGCCTGGGACGGCACGGATACAAAACTCTGAGGGGATGAGTGTGAGAGTGTTTGTGTTGGAGAGACACAGAGGGAAGGAAGGGCATGGAGAAGAAACTTCTGCTCAGCAGCTGCAACCGGTATCAGCTTTCTGCACAATCATCTTCACACACACACACACACACACACACTCACGCACACACACAGAGGAACCCTCACACGCAGAGGTTAGAAAGTCAACGGTGTGAGCTGCTTTAAAATGCCGGGCTTTAAATCGCTTTATCTGAGCCTCACACCAGAACAGATATTTTCAGACTGTAGGAGGAACATGATCTTTCTGTGTGCACAACAGCTCTCAGAGCTGAGAACACAAATCCAGGAAATCCAATAGGATCATCTGAAATGATGTGTGGGAAATTTACGTAGCGATAAATCTGAATTATTTGCAAAATGCTTTAAATCCTGATGAGAGTGAATTCCATATTTCCTCTGGTGTGAGCTGAAGGCCACACACATGCACCATTTTCTTAATTTAACTTAATCCACATGACAAGTCATGAAAACACACAACAAACACATTATGGAGTGCTTTTTCCCCAAGAAGGCCATTACAATAAAAAATGGGATTAAAGGTTCCAAATGGAAGTGAAACATCCTTCACATGCCAACATAAAGATAACATTTGATGCATATTCAATTCAATTCAAAAATACTTTATTAATCCCAAAAGGAAATTAAATGTTGTAACTTGTTATCCTCGTTTCATTAAGAGATGTTATAGATTCTGATAGGTAGGAAGGATCTATTGTAAAGGTCCATCCCACAGCGGATCTCAAGAAAATGGTTGCAGATGCCGTCCGATCCGTCCACCCAGACTCGGTTTGCCTCTCGGTTCCCTCGGGTTGCAGGACTGCCCGAATGCCGGACTGAACTCCTCTTAGAGTGATAGCCACTCCTCCCAGCAGCCTGCTGAGCTCATTGTCGCTTCGGACTGCCGGCCAAGAGACGATCTCTGTTCGTCTGTTATCACGAGCCACATTTCCTGCTAGTTCCAGGATCTCAGTGGTCAGGCACTTGAGCACAGCAGGCATGTAGACGGGAATGCATCTACGGTGCCTCCTTTTCAACTCATTTGAAATTTGGGGCTGTAGTTGAAATATTATTTGAGCTTTGAGATATTAATCAGCTGCTCCTGGTTGTAGAAAACTACCTTGTTGTTATGGTTACACATCATAACGAATGTCCAAAACTAAAAAAGTTTCAGTAAAAATCCTTCCAGCTGCCCAACATCCGAAAGCAGAGGAAGCAATCGCCACAGAAACTGTGATTTACATCCAGCAAAAGAGAAATACAGAGTTACTCCCAACATGCAGCCACCCTGAGTGGCGCAATTCTAGAACTTTAGAATATATTTATATTTAGAATATATTTATAGATTGTTTAATGCTAAGTTGCAACGTTTGTTCAGGATACATCAAAAGTCCCTTTCAGAGTATTCTCTTCAGTTTTTAAAGGTTTAGAATAGTTGCTATGCTAGGTAAAAATGTGACACTTCTCTTTCAGCATCAAACATGGTGCCTGGTGACTGTTACTGTGGACATCTCATGGCTATATAATACAGACTTTTTTAAAAACCTGTGTTTGTTTGTTTGTTTGTCAGCATAACCTTTGACTTAAAAACATGTCAAAGGAATGTTTAGACCTGTTACAGTCGAAAAGCGCACCTATTGGTAAACTGGTGAAAAGGCAGTACAGACCTTGTTTTAACTGTCATCACGAGTCATCCTGGTTTCTAGTCTTTTATTTTAGGTTGGGTCAGTTTTGGATGAGGATGCAGAGAGACAGATTAAAATGGCTCAAGAGCCATTTTAACCCACGAGGCTAATTTAGCCAATGTATAATCTAAAATTACTTAAAAAAACATCAGTTTCTCAAAAAAAAAAAAAGCAGATTTAGATGTCACTATTACACGTCTGGCAGCACAGAGACAAACTGTGAAGGTTCACTGTGAATAATACAACCCATAGTGTTTTACTGGGATGAAGGGACATTTTCTGATTCACACTCATTCATGACTCAAGTGGACACAATAATCTGAGCAAAATCTCGTTAATGAGCAGTCTTAAGGCCAACTGCAGCTAGCGTCAAGTTACTGTTAATTCAAGCTCAAATGCTGACATTTCTGGGAACAGTTGGCTGGTTGTCATAAGCATAGAGAGCAAAAGCAAGAAGGCTAAAAATAATCTTATAACTCAGAGCTTGTTCTGTGTTTGCTATGGCTTTTTTAATCCAGTGTCCCTCAAAAAAAGTTGAGTCCAGTGCGTCATTTTGCTCAAATCACACACAATTAACGTCACTCCATTGTGCTGCGATGCGCATGCTCGACGTGAAAGCAGGTGTAAGCATCACTATGTTAGAGCAGGCCTACTTATTAAACACTATAAGTTGGAGTAACAGTGGCTTGAATGAGAGAGTGGGGTCTAATAGGCTCTTCTTCTTAGACCCCCCACCCCGCCGCAACACACCCTCATCCACGCCCCCTCATGCGGTGGATTCCCTCCGGGGGATTGCCATGTGTAGCAAAGACTCCTCTCTCTCTGTAAGGCCGACTGCAGCTTGTCTCCCCCCGGCAGGAGCTGCTATAGCATTAAAGTGGAGCACATGTAGAATTGAACATAAATGTGTGTGTGTGTGTGTGTGTGTGTGGGTGGGGGGGACGCTGCTTACCATCACGCTCATCTCTTGTCCACCAGCATCATCACCTTTCTGGGTATCTTCAAAACACCTAGACAGGAATAAATACCCCCTCTGCTGAGCGGGACGGAGATGATTATCCTCCCCGCATCTCGGCACTTCTCCCCCCCGTGCCAGGAGCCGAACGGCGTGCGTGTTTGCAGGAATCCTCACGCGGGGATGTTAGTCAGCACCCGGCGTCCGGCCTTTCCAGGAGGATGCGAGCTTCTCGACCAGGCAGTGAAATCCGCATAGGATGGAGATAAGCTACAACACACGGCTCTCTCACCCCCCACCTCCCCTTCTCTCTCTCTCTCTTTCTCTCTCTCTCTCTCTCTCCCTCTCTCTCTCTCTCTCTCTCTCTCACACACACACACACACACACACACACACACACACACACACACACAC